TACCTTCTACTTATTTTTGCTGAATTCGCATTTCTGAGCTAAATAATTTTAATACTCTAAAGATTTTCTCATAGCTCTAGTAAATTGTCAAAATAGTTACATACATTTACTGTTTAACAGAATTACTTTTTCCACTTGACCTTTTTTCTGTAGATGTGTAAGCAGCAAAGTTAATAAAGCATCATTTTTTCCCATTAGCTCTCCTAAAGTATGTGATTCATGAAATAATGTAAGAGTTGGAGTGAGTCTTTGAAATTATATAACTTGTAGGTCTATTGTAATTACTGCATGTGCTAATGTTCAGGCTTGATACATATAGTAAACATATCAGCCGGGGAAGATAGTGCCACATACCTCAGTCCTTCTTTATAGTTCATCTGTCCTGTACATTGTTTCAATGACAATCTCCTGTTATGCCCATTTCTTCATAAATTGTGTATTCTCTGTTTATTTGCCCCAAATGGATATGTTTGTACTTTTTTCTTTTTTTTTTTTTTTCCCTTTTTTTTTTTTTCCGGTGCTGGGGACCGAACTCAGGGCCTTACACTTGCCAGGCAAGCGCTCTTCCACTGAGCTAAATCTCCAACCCCTGTACTTTTTTCTTGATGTAAAAATTTTAGCTAACAAAGATCGTTTTGAAAGTCAAAATTTGGACTATTTTTTTTGTGGTATTCATAAGCTATTTCTAGTTCATCACTCAAGTTGTTTTTTAAAAATGATATACCCATAAAAACTAAATGGTACTGATAAAAGAAAACAAAGGTCTAGGTAAATGGAAAGACGTATTGGTAATGAACTGGAAGACTCAATATAATAAATTCCATACTCATACCAATTCTCACACTGATAGCTAGATTTCACACAACTCCTACAAAATATCTAGCAAGGTTTTGAACGATAGATATCCTAAACTAGAGTACATACCACTTTTGCAAAAGAATAGTGTGATAGAAATCACTCCAATTTTAAGATTTGTTACACAGTTGTGGTCATGAAGACTGTGGTATTGGAAGATGAATACAGGAGAAGCAGCATTGCCATTTCATCTTTGAAAAGGTGCAAAAGTATTGTGGTCAAGGAAAGATGCTTTTTTCAGCAAATGACTGCTCATTGTATACCCGTGGACCAAAAAAATGAACTTCAATCTAAACCTCAGACCTCATACAAAAATAGCTCAAAGAGATCATTGATTTAAATGTGAAACATACAGCTATATACTTTTTAAAGTTCTTAGGCTGTAACGCCAAAAGCATGATTCATAAAAGAAAAAACTGGTAAATTAAATTTCATTAACAACTTTTGCTCTGCATAAGATTCTATTAATAGGATTAGGGCTGAGAGTAGAGTATGTGCCTATCTTACTTGAGGTCCGTGGTTCACTCTGTAGCAATCTCCCCCACTTCTCCCCACCCCCAAAAAAAATTGGAGACCCTATCTATATATGGCAAAGAACTCTTATCTAGAATACATTAAAAATCACAAAAAACAGTAAAAGCATAACCAAACAATTAATTTGTAAATGGGCAAATAGTATAAAGACACTTTCACATTTTTACTCAAAAAGCTATAGATGACAGATGAAAATAAACATATGTGGACATTTATCATTGGACTTCATATTTGCCCTTTCTAGGCATTTATCCAGGGAAATGACAAGTAAGATCTGTACAAAAATGTGTACACGAAGAGTCTTTAAAGTATGGGTAAACTCATGGTGGGATAGCCACACAACAGAATTCCATGCAAGAGGAAAAAGGAGCATACTATTAGTACTTTTGCAGTCCCCTCAATAAATGTTAAGGACAGTATGCTAAGTGGAAAAAAGTCACTACCATGTGGTTCCATTCATGCAGTATTCTATAAATGATAAAATCATAGAGATGGAGAACAGAGATGGTAGGGAGAAGGGTCTTGGGTAGACAGAAGGGGTAATAAGGTGGCATTCTGTGGGAATTGAATTGTGCTTCCACAAATATATCCAAGTGTTAAAATGTTAAGGAACTAAACACATTTTATCAAATGCCAATGGCCTGTTTTTGATATTATACTATAATTATATAAGATGTAGTCATCAGAAGAAACTGGGAGAAGGGTATACTAAATCTTTCTGAACTGTATTTGCAGCTTACTGTAGTCTATTAATTATTTCAAGTAAAAAGTTTTTTTAAAAAATGTATACTCAGACATGAGACTGCACTATTCACTAGTTAGAGGTTACTTTTAAAATTTAAGCTTAGGTTTATAAAATTAATTTCAGTTCCTTGGTCACAGGAGACATGTTTATGTGCTTCTGTGGCCACCTTTTTAAATATCACAGATGCAGAACATTTCCACCACTACAGAAAACACAGTTGGGCAGTCTTTGTTAGGTAGCCTCTTTGCAATGCCAGTTGCCACATGCATTGCTACCTACACATTTCTTAATTAACTGCCTTGAACTTATAAATCTAAAGATAATGGTCTGTACTAGTAAAATTAAAGAGAAGTAATGGATTTAACTTTTTTTTTATAGTATTGTGATTTTTGAGACAGTATCCTATATTTTAACAAGGAAGTAAAACATTTGCTTCATGTTTGAAGCAGGAGTAAGGTTTTCTTCCCTTTATCTGTTACAGTTTTTCCCAAATTGCTGTAAAATATATAAGATGGTGGCAAAATTGAGGAGGTGGTGGTAGCAGAAAGAGAAATCAACTTGGAAAGTGTTTCAAATATCCCAGACTTTCTGTTGTTATCTTCTGTTTCTTACTGGCCAGCTTACCATCACAGAGGAAGTACAAGCAGACCTTAAACCAGAAAGCTATTTCTAACTCAAAGTGACCTTGAGGAAGTGACACATTTACTCTTCTCATTCTTTCTTACAGCCAATCAGCAAATTAGAATGAAAGCAACTATTACTGGGTAGATGATAGCACTGCAAGATAGATTATTCTAAAACTATCCCTCTCTTCTGGGTTAAGTATAAAAGTATTTGCTATAAGTAGATTAAATGCAAAGTTTAAAAAAATTTATGAGAATGACCACATGAGAGAGAAAGAGGAAGTTTACCAGTCTTAAAAAGTTTTAGGTTTTTAGTTTAACCACCACCACCACCACACACACACACAGACACACACACACACAGACACACACACACACACACACACACAGACATACACACACACACACACACGACATAGGGTAAAAGTTTTTAGTTAAAATGACCTTAGATGGTCTGGGTCACCATCTAAAAAACTGACCTAATAACTTTTTGTTTGAGTTGTTATGAGGAGGACACATGGCAAGTCTGTAATAATGTTAATTTAATTAAGACATGGAATATAATAGTTTTTTAGAAACATTAATAGCTTTGCTTATTATAATTTCATAAAACTTTGTATTTAGCCACATAATTTTTTGGGGGGAGGGGGTGTATAAATTTTAGCTTTATAACAAATTGATTGTAATCATGGTTCCTTGAAACTGTTCTAAAATTTAAATGTATGTGTAGATGAGTTGGTCAAAATCACTTGACTTGAAGCCAAAAGAGAAAAACCTGTTTTTATAAAGTCTAACATGCCAAGATATAAGAAGCAAACTGAGAAAAATAGTACGCATTTATGAGAGATTTTCAGTGCAATACTTGCAATGTATTTTGATAAAAAGTTCTAGTCAATTGTAAAGATATATTAAGAATTTACAGTGTGCAACCGAATCATATCATTGAGAAATTCCACCCCAGTATCACCAAAAAAAGATATTCCATGTAAATTTTCATTCATGCATTCATTCATTCATTCATGCATTCTTTGCCTCCGACACTGCTAGAACATTGAAAAAAGGTCAAGAACAAGGGCTAACATATTCATTAGGATTCTCCCCACCACGGAACACAGTGGCAAAGCTGGACAGTTTTAGCCCACATAGCTCATTGGCATGTGGTCAGGTTGAAGTTTCCTGCCATACGCCTCTGAGCTAGAGAGAGGGAACCAAAAATGCTGACATCTCATTGAAGTTTGTCAGTCACATCCGAGCATATCACCAGCACTTCCTGTACCAAACCTGCCCTGACTGCAGAGGTTGCCCTCAGCCCTCCACTAACCTGAATGAGGATGCTGGCTTGAATTGGAGAGATTTGGAAAGCATTAGACCTCAGGTGGCACCACTGCACTGTGTGTGTGAACATGCCACGTCCTACTGTTAAACCTTTCACTTCATAGAGGGCAGCTTACAAAGCTCATAATAACGGTATTTATTGACAGCAAATGAAGTTGCAAGTGGGTTATAGCTCTCAAAATGAGCACCCTGGTAGTATTATACTGGACGATGGAATGATGGAATGCTTAAGAAAGAGCTAATTATTTAAATGCAGTATACTTCCAAAAACAGCTCTGAAAAAAACCCATCAGGAGTTTTGAAGTACATATACTTTGTCTTCCTGGTATCAATATGGCAAGTCCAGCCTACGTTAGTGCTCCTGGCCTCATTTTTGTTATCCAAATGTTGGGAGGATTTCTAAATTTCTACAACTGTGATTTTTCAGTGTGTATTTCTCCAAGTAGTTTCCTCTGTGCTTCCATACAAGCTATGTTAAATGTTGATTTTACTGTCATCACCAAATTTCCTCAAGTGATCTCAAAGTACTCTAAGGTAATACATAGTTTTCACTTTGCTACTCTTTCAGAAACAGTGATTTGAAGAAGTAATGTTCCAAAGCTGGACTAGGTATTGCAGTCTGATCCTGACTACATCTAGGTATCACATGGAAAGGGAAATTAGAATGTGAGTTATTATATAGGTGTTGAATCCAGGTGGTGATAAAGCTTTAGGCATTTTGTGAAGTCTATATATTTTCACATGTATTAACTAAAATATTCATTTTAATCAGTAATCTTCTCTTATGCACATAACAAGCATGCTTTTACTACATTAAAATCCCGTTGAGTTTTTATAAAGAAGTTACTTGGAATTGCATTGTGGCTGGCATACCTGTTTCTGAGAAAGAAATGGAAGGTCCATTGGTTTTGGGGGATATGGAGAGCTTACATAGTTTCACTGTTCAACATTTCTTTTGCCATTTCTTAAAGCTTTCTAATGGCCATGAAAAGATTCAAAGATCCTTGGAGACCTGTTTTTAAAAGATAGTTTGTTATAAAACTTACGGTCACAACTACAATTATATCACGTGCAGTTGGCCTCATGCTTCCCACTCCACCTTGAGCTCTCTGACTACATGTGGAAATACCTTCATGGAATTTTGAAACGCATTACTTGCGTAGTTCTTTGGGGCGGCCTCACAGCTAGAGGGGTTATGAAACATAACTGCTCACTTCCCATTACTTAGTTCTTTACCATGTTGAGCACAAGATGTGTGCGTGTCTGCTGTCTAAATACAGAATGCGTATAGATTTTACCGACAAATCACCAATGCAAATGTTTCCTCGAGAAGCAGGAATTACACTGAGCAGAAGAGTAGAAGGGGCTGCTGGGTATCATTTAAAAGGAATCCTTTATGGGGTGTGGTGAGTACTGCTGTTTTGCAATTAATGTTTCTGATCTATATCAGGGTTCAATATTGGGATTTTTTGAGTATGTAAGGCCTATGAGTAGATGAATTCACTAGCATTTGTCCTTGTTTACCATTAAATGATAATAAGCAAATTGTACCATTATTGAAAAAAAATAGCATTGTGGATCTTGCTTAAGAATGTTTCATGCTGAGATTTTTTTTTTTATAAAGGTGTGCTATTTGTTGTTTTCATGGTTCAAGTCCAGTGGAATTGTTTATGGAATAGCCTTTCTCACTGGGGCTTTCTTAGCATAGCAGTGGTTCCTGGGACCAGTGGAAGAGAGCTGTGCTCCATGTGCATTCACTGTGGACCCTCTCACCTGAATCTGTCTATAAAGTCCCATATGATCTGCCAGAATCTGAAGTCCAGATGATGTGGCCAGATCCTTCTAACATTGTGACTTTAATGGTCTCACAGTCTCTTATCTTTAGACTTCAAACCATTTTAGGTAAATATCTTTGTTCAAAAAACATTTTGAAACAGATATTTTTGCTGAGAAAGAAAAATAAGCACCCAGGCATATCAATACCATTATGAGGTGCTATTCCTCGTTGTATCTATTGTTTAACAAAGCTAAGGCCATATTGTACGTGATTTTATTTTATGCCCCTTCCAATGGCCTGCCACTGAACATCATATTATTTCAGGCTACTAAAAGTTCTCAGGAAATATCCATTTCAGTCACTATATGGTAATCTGACACAGGTTAGTACCTTAATTTAGATTTTTTTAAAGTTTTAAAGATTTTGGTTTATTAATAACTGTGAGAAGAACACCAGTTTTTTAAGACTAACTTGCAAGGTGCCTTTGGAGGGAGGCGAAACCCCATTATACTGATATTCTTCATTTTAAAATGTCAATATTAACATGACCTTAGATTTGAAGGACAGATACTGAAATAGGATTTTTAAGTGAACGTGTGTGCACGTTTGTTTGAATTTATGAATCTCACAATCTTAAAAACTTCTATGTGGTAGTCAACCTATGTTTGCTTCATAGAGACCAAGTGGAGTAGTAGCTCTAGAAGTTTTGTAAAAAGCTGGAGCAGTGAGGAGAATTGAAAGAGGACTGTTACTAAGGCAGTTTTTCTACTCCCCCAGGCCTGTGTGAATGGAAAACTAGACCCATCCTAGGACCGGCAGAATGGCTCACGTGTAAAGAGCACCTGCCTAGCAAGCTTTAGGCCCTGTGTATGAACTTCAGTAAAAAGAGAAGGCTTTTTGTCCTTTATTCTCATTGTAATGAATCCCTGTGTCACAGACTTGCACCAAAATGGTGTATTGACATTTCTTGTGGAATGAATGGAAATGGGTTTAGAGTACTTTGAGTTTACTCATAAATTCTTAAGTGCTGCTTCTATTTAAACTTAAATGCCCATGGTAAAATTTGATAAAGTAGAAATAACTGGGGGTGATATGATTATACCATCAAAATATAGAAATTTGGAGCCTTTAAATAATTTTGGATCAGAAAATTTGAGTTTTTAATCTGACTTGAAGATGTCAGGGGGTTTATTGTTTCTTTGCTCTTTCTCTGTCTTCCCCTCACTAGTTTAGATGGTAATATAAAGTAATAACCTGACTTTTCTATACAAATGAATAAAATTTTTGTTGAATATGTGCTATTCGTAGAAATTATAAATTTTCATTTTATTACCATTTAAAATAGAAACTCTTGTCATAAATCTCAGATTGTATATATAGGCATTATATATAGACATTAAAAATAATGCTATATTCATACATATAAACATTAGAAGTCAGGGCTGGGTTGTAGCTCAGTGGTAGAGTGCTTGCCTAGCATACACAATGCCCTGGGTTCAATCCCAGCACCAAAAAAAAAAAAGTCAAAGTGGGATTTATTGCAGAACCTATGTATTTTATTTTCTGACAATTAATGTGTGTGTGTATGACTAAAACTGATGAAAACTAGACTCAGAATTAGGCTGACAAGCTTTAATTCTTTTTTCCCCCATTCTGTTTCATTCCTCAACCTGTCATGTGCTCCTCTTCAGTGAGTGTGGACAGTACACATAGTTTGGCTTTATAACTGAACCAGTTGGACTCTTGTCCAATAGCTTATAAACTCTTGGCATTTCTCCTGCCCATTTGTTTCATCTTTCCCACTCATTTGATCCTCTGGCATTAGAGCCAACAGCTGCAATTGCATGTGGAGTTCATAAAGTAGCTGAATAATAAAATATCATGACCTGGTTTTGCTGTGCTTTCATTGATCACTGAGTTGGCAACTCTAATATTGTAGTGGAAATGATCAATTCATATAATTTTCTTTGTAAGTCCACATTATAAGATCAGTGGAATATTTCTACCTCCTATTTCTTTCTAGAGTAGAAAGGCTATAGCTTTATTTTGCAGGTTAGAGAGAACATTATTTCATTGGAATAGACTTTGTATGTGAAAAAGGTTTATATATAAAAGGAATTGATACTGTCAGTTGTTATTGATCTCCTTTTAATGCTTGGTATTATATACACAATGGTTCTATCCTCAGAATCTTTTAAGATAGGTGGTGTGACCCTATTTTTCAGACAGAGAAAGCAGGCTCTATGAGGTTATACCCATGTCTATACCTAGTTAGTATTACATGATAAGTACTAAAAGTATAATTCAGGTCCAAGATTGCCCATTCACTAAGTTTGTGACCTATTCATTGCACACTGTGTACTAATTTGTTCTTTTTCATTGTGGATAATACTTAATTTCCATTTTGCTGTGGATGGACATTGCTTATTATGATGAACAGTGCTAGTATTGTATACATACCTTCTGGTGGAATTACTGGGTTTAGCCCATGCATATATTCAGCTTTAGGTGATACTGTCTAAAAGTTTTCCACATTGGCTCCATTTATGTGAATATTCTAGTTCCACATACTTACCAGTTCTTTCTGTTGGTTTTTAAACATTTAGCCATGTGACAGGTATGTAGTAGTATCATTTTGATTTTACTTTGCATATGCCCGATAGTTATTTTTATCTGCTTATTAGAGATCCTTTTTTTGAAGTGTCCAGTCAAGACTTTTGCTCATTAAATTTTATTGATTGTCTCAATTTGTCTGAGTTTGTGGTATATTCTGTGCAACAGTCTTTTTCAGCATTATTAGTTACAATTTTTTTCCTCTAGGCTTTCTTTTTTTCTGTTTCATATTTTTTCTTTTTATCTTTGCTTTGTCTTCTGTTTGCTAAGACTTTTTTTTTTTTTTTTTTAATGCTTGATGTTCTTTGAACAATGATGTGAAATTTCAGTCTTTCCCTCTTAGGTCCTGTTTGAAAAACCTTTGCCTACCTGAAGGTCATAAAGATGTTTTCCTATAGCATTTCTAGAACCTTTATTGTCTCACTTTTCATATTAGGTCTATGAGCCATCTGGAATTGACTTGTGTAAGTGATATGAGTCAAGATTCATATCTTAGTCCTATGTACATATTAAGTTAATTGAGCGTCTATTGTTTGATCACTAAATTTCAATGGCAACTTTGTGACCTCTGCTGTTCTAAGAATTCTGTTTGACATTTCCAGACTCTAAATCAGCCAGCTCAAATTCTATTTCATATCATCTCACCTGGTATATTGTTCTGAATACATTGTAGAATTGGGAGAATTTGAGAGCTGTGAAAAGGTTTTCACTAATAAGATAGCAGAGATTGAGTTGTATATTTCTGCAGGAAAAGGAAGAAGAAAAGTTTTATATTGCTAGATGGAAGCAGTTTGTGTGTTATTTCTAGGTGAAGTTTTCCTGTAAATGTCTTCAGTGAGGATGATGAAGGTCGGGATTATAAATCCCTCCCGCTGCATTGAAAGAAAGTTTCAGAGGAGTTACCATTCAGAGTAGTTTTCTGCTATACTATCTGATATGCTCAGTAACCTATACATGGCTTACCATGTAAGAGACTTTTTTCTTCTCATTTGTTAAGCTTCATTGTTTTTTTGTTTGTTTGTTTGTTTGTTTTGTTTTGCTTTGTTTTGTTTTTTATAAATAACAAGTTTGATGTTTGGTTCTGGCCAAGATGGAATGATAGATGTTGGAATACCGCTCTGGTATAGAAAAGTTGTTAAGCTGGCACATGCTACAGTTGTTTGCAAGCACTTAGGGTAATGTGCCTGCACCAGAAAGTTCTAAAGTTAGTGAAAGTTCTAAAGTCAGTGGGCTAAGCATCCACCTTATAAATTTATAGGAAGAACAAATTAAACTCTAAGTAGAAAGAAGGCAATAATCAACCTCAGACTCTTTGGGAAGCTTAATAAATGTCAAGACATCAGGAATAAGAGAAGAAAATTACACTATCAGGGGTCTACGTATAGGATTATAATTGATCGTCATGAATGACTTTATGGTAGTTACTTATATGAAACAAATTCCTTTAAAAGACATACTTAGCGAAAGAGTTACAGAAGAAAAGATAGAAAATTCAAATAGCCCTACATCTACTAAACAGATTGAAATTGCAGTTTAAAATCTTTCAGCAAGCAATGCCATGATCCACTGCCATTGGCTGCAAGGTCCACAGGTCAAGGAATACCTTTCTGGCCTTTCTTGATTGACTGCAAGAATTACTCTTGGTAAATGTTTGTCTAATATAGTTGACTAAATGACATGGCAACATGTTGGAAAGTTTCCTCCTTTGGAAATCCTAATTTTTACCTTCTTTCTGTGGTTAGGAGCATTTGATCTTCCAACTCACTTCAGAAAACATGATGCTACTGTCGTGAGAAAGTTTCAGTTTCTTATGTTGGGAAACTATGAATAGGAGTGCCTCAGGGTTCCCTCAGTGGATGTGTAATTCATTTGGGTATAGGATGGGCTATATATTGTTCCCAGACACTTTAATCTAAAGTAAAAGTTAAACCAAAGTAACATTGATCCTTTTTCTAGCAATGGCAATTTGTTCTTTTGGCCTAGGGGCAGGAAGGAGGGTGTGTGTGTGTGTCTGTC